AGAGAGAGAGAGAGAGAGAGAGAGAGAGAGAGAGAGAAAAGGAGACAGAGAGAGAAAGATAGAGGCAAAGAAGGCGAGAGAGAGAAGGAAAAAGAGAGACGGAGGTAGACAGTGAAAAACAAACAAAGACAAAGATGAAGAGGGGACAGTAGAAAGGAGACAAACAAAAGGAGACAAATAAAGGGACAAATAAAGGAGACACATACAAGGAGACAGAAAAAGGAGACAGAAAAAAGGAGACAAACAAACGAAAGGAGACAGTAACAAGGGGGCAAACAAACAAAAGAAAACAGACAAAAGGAGACAGAAGAAGGGAGACAGAAAAAAGGGGACAAAAGGAGACAGAAAAAGGGAACAGAAAAAAGCAGACGGAAAGAGGAGACAAACAAACAAAAGGAGACAGAAGAGAGGAGACAAACAAAGAAAAGGAGACAAACAAGAGAGACAGAACAAAAGGAAACAAACAAAAGAAGACAGAAAAGAAAAGGAGACAGAAGAGAGGAAAAAGAAAAAAAGGAAAGAGACAAAAAAAAGGAGACAGAAAAAAAAGGAGACAGAAAAAAAAGGAGACAAAAAAAAAGGAGACAGAAAACAAGTGTCTCCTTTTGCTTACTCTGCGGACGTTGTCGGGCAGATAACAAATGTGTTCAAACCGCTCCCTCACTTTTGGGTCCTCGCTCAGCACGCAGCTGTACATACACCCCAACCAGCAGCAGCAGCAGCAGCAGCAGCAGCAGCAGTAGCAGCAGCGGCAGCAGCAGCAGCGGCAGCAGCAGCAGCAGCGGCAGCAGCGGCAGCAGCAGCAGCGGCAGCAGCAGCGGCGGCAGCAGGAGACAGAGAAAAGGAGATACACGTAAGGGGACAGACGAAAGAAGAGAAACAAAAGAAGAGAGCACACAGGCAGCAGCAGGAACAGCAACAGCAGTAGCAACAGCAGCTGCAGCAGAAGCAGCAGCAGCAGCAGCAGTAGCAGCAGCAGCAGCAGCAGTAGTGGCAGTAGCAGCAGTGTTAGTAGTATCAGTAGCAGCAGCAGCAGCAGCAGCAGCAGCAGCAGCAGCAGCACAGCAGTGGAGACACCCCAGCAGCATCCACCAGGCGCAATTGGGGCTTTTACGGCGCCGAGGTGTATATACAGTGCATGCATGCATGCATATATATACAGTGCATGCAGGGTAAGAGCCAGAAAAAAGAAGACAACGAGACAGACACAGGATGCGACAGATGGAGACAAGAGGAGACAGAAGAGGAGACAGAGGGGGAGAGAGAAGGAGACAGAGGGGGAGAGAGGAGACAGAAGGAGACAGAAGAAAACAGAAGGAGACAGGAGGAGAGAGAAGAAGAGACAGAAGGAGACAGAAGGTGGAGACAGAAGGAGACAGAAGGAGACAGAAGAAGAGACAGAAGAAGGAGACAGAAGAAGAGACAGAAAAGGAGACAGAAGAAGAGACAGAAGAAGGAGACAAAAGGAGACAAAAGGAGACAAAAGGAGACAGAAGAGGAGACAAAAGGAGACAGAAGAGGAGAAAAAAAGGAGACAGAAGAAGGAGACAGAAGAAGAGACAGAAGAAGGAGACAAAAGGAGACAAAAGGAGACAGAAGAGGAGAAGAAAGGAGACAGAAGAGGAGAAGAAAGGAGACAGTGCATGTGTACTCTATGAGTTGTTTTCTGGCTTCTAGCTGCTGCAGTATATGTTCCCTGGTGTTGACTCTGAGGTGTCTAGACAGCTGAAGCATAACAGCAGGCCTCGCCATCATCTCCTCTCGCAGCTGCTGCGGCAGAGCAGCAGCAACTGCATGCAGCAGCAGAGGAGGAGGCAGCAGCCCCTGCTGCAGGTACCGGGTAGCTAGCAGCTGCAGCCGCAGCTGCTGCAGCAGCTGCTCGTCTGTTAGGGGT